GCGAATTTTGGAGTAACTTTTAAAATTACTGGGTTTTAAATACACAAAAAAAATTCATGTTTCCAAGGTTACAGATAAATCTATTTTGCTAGACAAGGGGTGTCTGGGTGTTCAATATGTGTATATTTTAATGTATCAGTTATTGCTACGTTTTGGTAGTAGGTTGGGATGTATTTTTCAATGAAATCTAACATCCGTTAAAAACATGTCGTCTGGATTTTTTTAAAAAAATTATATTGTTAACTGCTAAAATTCTTACGGCATTTTTTTCTTCGTATATTTAAAGATTTGGGGGGGGGCTGTTTAGGTAAGAAGACTTTTTATTTAACTACGATTTGAAATATTTTTACTTTTAATTTTTAATATACTATATTTCTTTCAAGAACAATTAAATGTAATTAGAATCCCTTACAGTTTGTAGAAGTATTATCACATCAAGTATATTACGATTTTTAAAATTTTATATTTAAATATTACTAAAGTAAAATTTTCATTTCCCTGATTTAGTAAATTTTATTTATTTAATTTCAATTTAAAAGAAGTTTAGGTTAGAATTCATTTTAATGTACTACAATTTTAATTACAACTTTAAAATATTTTCATTAGTAGTTTTTATAGACTATATTTCATTTAATAGAAGTAAATGTATTAGAGTTACTTATAGTCTGTAATATTATTTTTCTATATCAAGTATATTTATATTACGATTTTAAAAAAATTTTATATTCAAATATTTTTTAAGTAAAATTTTTTTATTTTCTTTAACGGCAAAAATAGCTAATTCATTTCTCTGATTTAGTGAACTTTATTTATTTATTTAATTACAATTTAAAAGAAGTTTAGGTTAGAATTAACTACAATTTTAATTACAACTTTAAAATATTTTATTATTTTGCCGTAAAGAAAAAAAATTTTACTTAAAAAATATTTAAATATAAAATTTTTTAAAAATCGTAATATAAATATACTTGATATAGAAAAATAATTTTACTAATTTTACTATTAATGCTCTGTAAATTTACATTGAGCACTATTTTGTAAAAAATAAAAATATCTATAAGAACGCTGGATTATATATCTTACTGTTCTTTCTTTTTTTATTTATATACACACACACATATATATATATATATATATATATATATATATATATATATACATATATATATGTTAAACAGCAAGGCAGTAAAGACACTAAGATACAAGGGGTTACTGTTACTAGGTGTGAAAGGATTAAAATCAGAAACATTACGAAGGAGCGAGACCAATAGAAGAGTAATCAGTATATAACAGTTGACATTGTATTTAAATTTTTCAAGATCAAACTTAAAAGGAGAGCATGGAGCCAAAAGAGTTCCACAAGTGAGAAGTGCAAGAAGAGAAACTGTTAGCATAGAACTTACAGTTACATCTAACCAACTCAACTGTAAATTGATGAGACCTTATTGCCAATCTATTACTGTACTTAAAGTCATAAAGCCTAGGTATTATAGCAAAGAGTTCATTTTCTTACATATTTACTATTCTGTCAGATTTTCATCCAAATTTGAACACACACACACATACACACAAAGCTTAGATATGGCTCAAGGCCAGAAGTAGGGAGCACCCAGTAAGGATTGAACTCATAATAGATCTAGCAAGGCAAGATTTCTAACTATTACACCATGCTGAATACTTAAACACACACAGATATATTTAATATATGTGATAAAGGTTCTATTTCTTTCTCTCTTCATACATATATATATATATATATATATATATATATATATTTAGTTGGATAGATGTGAGTTTGTGACCCTGGGTTTCACGCTTTAGCGATCATCAGACAAACTAAATAATTATACATATATATATTTATTTATATTTATATACACTTTTTACATATATATATATATATATATATATATATATATATATATATGCCAGTAATGCACCTTGAAAGGTAACCAGGTGCATCCCAAGTTAACAGACAGAAGAATAATTTATTAATTATTTTTATATTTAAAAAAAATCTTTATTTTTTAAAAGCTACAGACACCAAGTATATGGCTTCAATGTCCAAATCAAGTCTTTCTCATTTGATATTTTAAACTGGATGCTAAATCCCTTAATCTTTAAGAAGTGGATAATCCTTTCCCTTTTGCCTTCCTCAGGTGATTTGATTCATTCATTATTGGTCTCTCTAAAAAAAAAAAAAATTGATTCTTCATAAATCCCTTTAAATGAAAACTGTACTGCTAATCTTCTTTGGAAATGCTAAACCAAAATTTCATATTTTCAAATATCATGACAAATTTTTCCTTAGTAAAATTTAAAATGCACCCCAGATTTATGGTTATTCTACAAGTTCACCTTGAGGTAAAAAAGATGGAGAAACACTGCTTTAGCATATATATATATATATATATATATATATATATATATATATATATATATATATATGGTGGACTCTCCTGTCATATTTGATGTATGAGGGTCAAGCAGCTCAGCTCCTAGGAACCATTAGCCCAGACACCAACACATATGATTTGATTATAGTGGTGAACGCATTGTACAGAATCTACCACATTTTTTGAAGGGCCAAATACAGAGACCAGTGCACTAAGTACCACAAGGTCCCCAAACAACCCTCTGCAGGTTTTGAATTTAGAGTTGTCCTTCTCTTAGACCAGTTGCCATCCGAGGCCATAGAACCCAGTCTGTCCTGTTATTTACCCATAGCTAGAAGGTGAAGAAGAGGATTAGTACCTTTTCTAAGGGTATTAGCACGTAAGTGAATGTAATGGATTTGACTGGAATTCGAACTTGGTTCTCTGATTCCTCAATCTGAGCTACCATTGACTACTCCACTGTGCCTCCTATATATATATATATATATATATATATATATTAAAAAAAGAAAGAACAGTAAGATATATAATCCTGTGTTCTTATAGATATTTTTATTTTTATAAAATTGTGCTCAATGTAAATTTACAGAGCATTAATATTATAAATTAATTGATTTTCGCTACACAGTTCTAACCATGTTTCAAATATGGAAGCTAAAAGCTTTGAATTTAATTTTGTAATTAAATTAAAGACATTAGTTCCATTTCATCCTCAAGCGAATTTTGGAGTAACTTATTTGTTACTGGGTTTTAAAGGCACAGCAAAAAATCATAATTCACGTTTCCAAGGATAGAGAGAAATCCATTCATCCAGACAAGGGGTGTTTGTGAGTTCATTATCACTGTATTTTGATGTATCAGTTATTAGTTATGTTTTAGTAGAGGTAGGGATGTATTTTTCAATTAATTCTGACATCCATTAAATGCATGCCGTCTGGATTTTTTAAAAAATTTATTGTTAACAGCAAAAATTCTTACAGCATTTTTTTCTATTTGTATACTTAAAGATTTTTGGGGGGTGTTTAGGTTAGAATACGTTTTATTTAACTACGATTTTAAAAAAATATTTTCACTTTTAATTTTTAATATACTATATTTCTTTTTAAAACAAGTAAATATATTAGAATCACTTACAGTATGTAAAATTATTTTCACATCAAGTATAAGTATGTATATTACTAGGTCACAATTTTTTTTTATTAAAATTTATATTTAAATTTTATTTAAGTAAAATTTTTGACAATGATGGCAAAAATAGCTGATTAATTTCTCTGATTTAGTAAACTAAATAGCTAATTAATTTCTCTGATTTAGTAAACTTTTATTTTTATATATTTTATATAAATCCATATATATATATTTTATTTTTTATATATATCCATATATATACACACACATATATATACACACACACATATATATATATATATATATATATATATATATATATATATATATATATATATATATGTATGTATGTATATGTATATATATAAATAATTAATCATTTCAACCCAAACAAGCCACTGAAAAATGCTATCAAATATCAGTTGCCCAATATGCCAGTGAATGCTGGATAATTTCCTCACTGATAAAGAAAAGACTTGAGCTAACAAAATGGTACTGAGAATATTATGAGAGCAACAAAGATGTTTTAAGGAAAATAGGAACCAAAAGGACACTTGTACTTAGAATCAAAAAAAGACAGTTGAAATTACTAGAACACTTTATGAGGAAAAAGGGCTTGGAGAATTTGAGACTCACAGGAAAGCAAGGAGAGATGGAAACATCAAGTAACCTACCTAATGAACCTGTGTAATTGGATGGTAGAACAGGGAATTAGAAGGATAGTAAGGGTCAAACATTGCTTAGAGTTACAAAGGATAGGAAGTTGTAGAGAGCCTTGACCCTGAAAGGAAACAACATATAGATGAAGTAATACTATAGCAAATTAATTATTGCCTGATAAAAATACACTAACAATTGCTGGGTAAAATTTTGTAAAATTCTGCTTGACTTTTTCATGGGTGTAGAATTTGATCCTTCTTGTTGTAAAATGCTCAACCCATTGGAACAAAGAAATTGATTCCCATTTTTTTTACAAGTATTTGTTTATTTTCCCAATATTCCTTGTGGGAAGAACAGAGCCACATCAATGCTGAAATGGCTTAAGTACCAAATTGTTTTTGATTTCTAATTTTAGGCAAATGAAAAAAAGAACACATTTTGTTTCCTTTATTCTTGGTTCAAAGGAACAAGTGAAAATTTAATGAGAGAATAAAAAAAAGAAAAGAAAGAAGTGAAGTTGAGGCAAGAGGAAGAAAACAAAAAGAAGAAAGATGATGGAAAGAAAAAATGTTCTTCATTCAATACATGAATCTTTGCTGGGTTAGAAAATCATGATTGTAGGAAGAGAACAGTTGGTGAATAATTTTTAATGGGAAATTCAGTGTTTGGGTTCAAGGTTGACTGTATGTGGTCAACTGCTTATCACTAGCCTTCATGTTTGCACTTTTACCATCCATCATCTGTTAGCTTTAGTTATCAATTCCATTTTCCAGATTTCTACAAGAAGTATCTTATCTTGTTCTTGTTGTTCTTTAGTTTTTCTTTTAAATGTTATCTTCTTTCTCTTCTTCATTTTCCTTTTCTGCCTATTTCTTCTTCTTTTTCTTCTTCCTTCAGTTTTTCTTTTAATTGTTATCTTCTTTCTCTTCTTCATTTTCCTTTTCTGTCTATTTCTTCTTCTTCCTTCAGTTTTTCTTTTTATTATCTTCTTTCTCTTCCCATTTTCCTTTTCTTCTTTTCTTCTTCTTTTTCTTCTTCCTTCAGTTTTTCTTTTTAATTGTTATCTTCTTTCTCTTCTTCATTTTCCTTTTCTGTCTATTTCTTCTTCTTCCTTCAGTTTTTCTTTTGTTATCTTCTTTCTCTTCCCCATTTTCCTTTTCTGCCTATTTCTTCTTCTTTTTCTTCTTCCTTCAGTTTTTCTTTTAATTGTTATCTTCTTTCTCTTCTTCATTTTCCTTTTCTGTCTATTTCTTCTTCTTCCTTCAGTTTTTCTTTTGTTATCTTCTTTCTCTTCCCCATTTTCCTTTTCTGCCTATTTCTTCTTCTTTTTCTTCTTCCTTCAGTTTTTCTTTTAATTGTTATCTTCTTTCTCTTCTTCATTTTCCTTTTCTGTCTATTTCTTCTTCTTCCTTCAGTTTTTCTTTTTGTTATCTTCTTTCTCTTCCCCATTTTCCTTTTCTGCCTTTTCTTCTTCTTTTCTTCTTCCTTCAGTTTTCTTTTAATTGTTATCTTCTTTCTCTTCTTCATTTTCCTTTTCTTCTATTTCTTCTTCTTCCTTCAGTTTTTCTTTTTTTATCTTCTTTCTCTTCCCCATTTTCCTTTTCTGCTTATTTCTTCTTCTTTTTCTTCTTCCTTCAGTTTTTCTTTTAATTGTTATCTTCTTTCTCTTCTTCATTTTCCTTTTCTGTCTACTTCTTCTTCTTCTACGATCAAATGGTGAAAGAAAAGAAAATGAAGATCATGTAGAAAGAGTAAAGAAATATATTTAATAATTTAAATAATACTGAACTTTGAAAAAAAAAAAAAACAAATTTTAAAGTTTTTTTTACAGTTTGACCTCAAATCTATCTTTGCATCCACTGTCATCTACAAACAATCTAGCAAAATGGTGTCTGACATAAAAGTATGTAAAAAAAAGAAGTGTATATTACTGATGTTTTCCTTGTGGGAGAAATTGCACACATTAACATTGATCAAAGCTTGCTGAATGTTTACAGAGACCAAACAGTGAATGTAAACACATTGAAAATGCACTTAGTGACTAAATGGAAAAAAACAGTATTGTGTAACTGAAAACTTGCTCCATCCATTGGTGTCATTGTGCTCCCTGTAGCTGTTGTTTCCATGGAAATAAACTGGAGGTATTACTTTTCAAGCATTGCTTGTATATAGACATGCTCCTAGGTGCCAAATAAATTTCCCTTCTAGTTTGTTAATTTTTGGATTTTTTCCATCACACCTGGAGCTTATTAGGGCCCCATTTATTTATAATTATTTGTATTGTAATGTTGGCAAGACTTCATAGAAATATTTTAGGATTTCTTAGAGTATTTTACTTAAAGACATTGATGGATGTTTATTTTTAGTTTTATTTTCTTCAATGCCTTGTTAAGAGTTTGAAAGACTTTTTATTTGAATCATTTCGCAACACCCTGATTTATTTGCTTACAGTGACACCATGCTGATCACTGAAGTTAAGCAACATGGTCAGTACTTAGATGGGAAAAAGCTTGGGGTCACCAGGTACTGTAATGTAACCTCCTACAACCCAAAATTAAGCTTTAAATAACATACAAAGAGTTAATAAGCTGTAAAGAAAAAGAAAAACCATTCAACCCCATTTATTTACCCCCCCTTATAACATTTTGTGATTTATTTCCACCTTCCCCATTTACTATGACCCCCACTTTTATTTGGTACCTTCAGAATATGTAAATAGATATGTACAAATACACACCCATATGCAGAGAGAATTTATTTGTCATTTTGTAACATTAAGAAGAGTTATTCACAATCCAGGAACTCCTAGAAGTGATGGCCTCTTTCTTTATCTTGCTTTTATTGATGTTACATTGTTTTAATAATTCATACTACAGGGTGCAAGGGATAAATTGTCATCTAAATTATGCAAAAATGGAAATAACACTGACATTTCATTTTAACAGATATATTTGCCAAAATTACATAAAAATATTCAATGCACAGACAGATGGCAGATTTATAAACATACAAGATGGATTCTGGTGAGAAAAATTGTCTGGCATGACACAATGAACAAACTTTCCAAGCAGCAGACTTAGCAACAGATTCAACATGATCATTCCACTTTGTGTCAGTGGAAAATGTGAGATTGAGAAAGTTCAATGAGTTTCTCTCCTGGAGGTTAATATCAGCCATGTTGATGGAAACTAAAAATGGTTGTCTAAGAACTGAAAGATAGAATGTTCATTTTGGAGGTGATAAAATTTACAAGTCGTTTCTTGCCCTGGTTAACAAATGATTGGAGGTAAATTTTGAGATCAGCTGTCAGTTTTACTTTATTTTTTTTTCATCTGGCAGAGAGAATTTATTGGTCATTTTGTAACACTTAGAAGAGTTATTCACAATCCAGGAACTCTTAGAAATGATGGCCTCTTTCTTTATCTTGCTTTTATTGATGTTTGTTTTAATAATTCACACTACACTATGAATAAATTGTCATCTAAATTACACAAAAATGGAAATAACACTGAGATCTCATTTTAACAGATATATTATACAAAAATATCTTGAAATACTAAAGAGTAAATTTATTCAATAAAATCGCCACTTGGCTTCAACCACAGCCTCCAGAGGACACCAGAATCTCCTGCAACTCTTCTGGATGGTCTCCTTGCTTAACTTGGGGAATGCTGCCATAATCCTTACTTTCAGTTCATCTTTGATATTACAAGGAGTTTTGTTGGTCTCTCACTCAACTGTGCCCCAGACATAATAATCAAGGGGTTTGCAGTCTGTGGAGTTAAGTGGCCAGTGGTGATGTGGTTGCAGAAATTGTCTGACAGCTATGACTAGGTTCTCCTGCTTGTGTGGCATCATGCAGAGTATTGTTGCCTGACATAGAGTCTTCGAGCAGCCACCCTCTTGACCCAGGGCAGCACTATCTCATCAAGGCACTTGATGTAGACCTCTGTGTTGAGTCTGAGGTTTCCCACCAACAAATTCTGAAGTTCATTCCTTATCAGAATGATCAGAGTGAGTTTTCCAAACTGCTGTACCTTCATAATCACCATTAGACTCATCTAACTCTTTCTGAATTTTCTGCACTGTCCTCAGATTAACACCCAAACACACTGTAATGTTCATATTGGAGCTTCAAGTGCAAATACCATGCAGTACAGCATGTCATTTCCAAATTTATGGCAGAGTGAATTGCATCATGGTACTCTTTCTCCCACTGATTGTGCCCAACAGATCCTACTATACTGTGTAGTTGACAAAATCAAAAACAAACAATGCATATGTGTAAAATTAAAAATATAAAATGGCGACAAATTACCCATCGCATCATGCATACATACTAGAGTCCCCACCAGTGGTGGTGAAAAGCAGGGAGAGCCAGCACAAATGTGCTGGGCCTCGAAACCAGAGGTGCCTCAAGAAAATACTTTTAGGTGTTTAGTGGGAGAGCAAAATTACGAATTGGTATTTTATTTTAAAAAATACGAAGACTAAAACCAGTTCCAAAGCAGCTTAAAAGTACATTTTTTGAACTTTCATTGAAGCAAAATGCCTGATGAATTCGTCAAAGTCTAATACTCGTGCCAAATCACACTTGATCACAATGGTCGCTAAGTAAGACACGCTCTTTAAAAAGTCTTGTAAGACATGCTAAATCAAGTTTGTTTGTCCCAGCAGCTCCTGTTCTGACCAGGGGACCTGAAAATAATCTGAGTACTGGACCTCAGAAATTCCCTCCCAGGTACTGGACTCCCCACCATTGGTTTTGACATATAATTATCCAGTATCTTATAGTTTATTCGATAGTGATTTATGTTGAATATTTTAATGCCATTGTGTCACCATACACACCAATCTATTCAGTCCCAAACAGCTTCAAGATTGACTATAGGTTGTTTTTGTACCTGAGTCATGGTCTACCTACATTTCTTTTGGCATTAAGTACATGAAGACTTTTGGCGTTTGATTGATACTGATTGTGATGACATGACAAGCTCATTGCACACACACACACACACACATATATATATATATATATATATATATATATATATATATATATATATATAGGGGCTTCTATTACAAATAAGAAGTGTCCACTATAATAACATATAAATTAATAAAAATGTTGAATTAAAAATGAATCCATTAATTCTTTACTATATATATATATATATATATATATATATATATATATATATAAACTAAAATTAAAACTATATTTTTATTACACACACATATATATGTATATATATATTACTTTCTCTCTCTCTCTATATATATATATATATATATATATATATATATATATATATATATATATATATATATATATATCAATAATAAAAACAAAGATTGTTTATGCTCACCTCACACCACCAAATAAACAACCAGTTGATAGATATATATATATATATATATATACACACACACACATATATACATATATATATATACATATATATGCACATATATATATATATATATATATATTTACCCAGATTTATTTGTCTGAAATTTGAAGTCAAGAGATAATTCTGTGGCCTTTATACCAATCTACTTATGAACTATCAATCTTTCTCTTTAAAAAAAAACAAGTCATTTTGAAAAAAAAAGCTACAAATCCTGTTTTTCTAATTCCACAATAAGTGCTTGTGAGAGCATGTGTAGGTGTATGTAATTGTATGAATGTATGCAAATGTGTGTGTGTAAGTGCATAAGTGTACATATTTTTTGTTTATGATGTTATGCAAATATTAGCATACAACAGACACCAATATTTGCGTTTGATGGCATTTAATTGAGAAATGATTCCATTTCTTTCCTTTTATTCAATATTTTTAAAATTTTTTAATTTTTTGAAAAAAAAAAATGTTGAATGTTGAATGTGTTGTTGAATGCCGGGAGTTGATGAGTAGCCAAAAATTAATCAGACATTTTGTTCACTAAATCACCATTGGTTTTGAATTGGGTTTTTTTTTTTGTGCTTGTGTCAATATAAGATAATTTTCCCAAAATGAGTTGAATAAAATGATTAATAATTTTATGATTAATAATTTTACAGTGACAAGATTTTATGAAGAGTAACCAGCATTTTTGTGGAAATTGACCAGAATTTTGTGTTATGAGCATTTTGTGGAAAGTGAATAGAATTTCTTAAAAAGTAATGAACATTTTGTGGAAAGTGATCAGGATTTTGTATAAAGTGACTTACTGTTAATTTTTTATCAATAAGATGTTATTTCTATTTATATGGTCTAGTGAAGGTCAGATGCAACTTTGAATAAAATTTACATTCACCTACTACATTACAAAAAGAACATTAGCCAGAAGGTAGAGTGATTTTTAGAACATGTCAGATTTTATATTCCATATTTTTCTTGGCATGTTAATCTTTATCTAGACCATAAATACCAGATGTTGGTAATTTTTAAGCACTGTATAAATGCTTAGAATTTACTGCTTCAGCAATTAGAGAATTCCTAATTCATAGTCAGAACATGGACGGAGCTATTTCTATTTTTATTCTAATATACTAAATAAAGAACACTTTACTTGAGTAAAAAAAAAAAAAAGAGTCATGTTAATTGTTGAGTAAAAAAAGCCATATTGTTTTTATTGATCGTGGTTAATTACTACATACTTGCACACACAAACACACAGAGTGTGAGTGTGTGTATATATATACATATATATATATATATCTACAAAGATAACAAT